CGGCACCGATGAAATTGTTACACACAATTTTAAATATTGACTTATACACGTACTCAGCGATGAAGGAAAATATCGTGAGGAAGCCTGCTTAATTTCGTAATAACAAAACAAAATATTTGAAGTCTGCCAATCCCAGCAGCAGTGGGGTTGCAATGGTAAACTACAGTACTACTAGCAGTGGGACATAAAGACTGTTTCTTTGCGTTTGGGTACTTAAAGGTCTTATAGAAAAGATGCATACGTAGTTTTGAAGACATCAGTTAAGGTTGGTTTGTCTGTACAGTATTTACATGACGGTTTGAGATGACAACCCAATGAGATTTCTAGAATATTCCATTACGTTAGTATCAAAGCTTTGGCTTAGCTGTGTGCTTCTTAAAGTGAGAGGAGCTATTTCGTATTTGTAGTAGATATTAAACAAAAGTCCTCTTAACCATCCTAACGTCAATTTCATCCACATATGCACCCAATTATACACTTTCATCTAGAGGGCTTCGTGTAATACCAGCAGTCACATGGCTATAAAGCCCTGATGCAAAGCGGTGCGGCAAATGGCCACCTCCATAAAAACCGCTCGAGTCTAGTCTGCTTTATAAAAATACGGCATCGGATAAATAAAAATATAAAATAAAATATGAAATGAAAGTGGCGCGGGACGCAAGAAACTCGCGATCCCTTTGAATGTGTCTGTAAGGGAGCAGAGGTGGAATAGAGCCGCTTTTAAATTATAAAATTTATCTCTTAAACATAGAAAATAGTAATGGAATCAAATCTAATCAATCATCGTACGAAAAATATACGCGATAACCACATTCAAATAACTATAATTACAACAAATAAAAATAAGGATGTAGAGATTAGTAACTGAATAATAATCGTTATTACTTTAGCAAAATTTAAACTATTAGATATCAAATAACACATTAATTAAGCTTATAACCGTTATAGATGGACACAGGCATAATTATACCATTGTGTTAACATTATTTTTGACAGAGAATTTCCGTGGATTTTCCTGTTCTATTGGAGTGTTTCTTTGGCCGTAACAATCTGAAGGCGGCGCCACGGGTCAGCAGAGACCCCCTCCCCCCTTCCCACTCGCCGCCACGACACATGCACGTGAAGGAACACTCGTGTGTGTGCGTGCAATGAAAATATCCGTAGAGGGTTTGCTTCGGGTAGAAAATTTCAATTACACCATGTCCATTTCGTTCTGGAGCATTCCTTTAGATTCGTATTCTTGAAGTAACATGTACCTCTTTTAGTTGACTTAATAACCATCATCTGTCACAAATTATCATAAATGTCAATGATATTCGTTTATTTGTATTTTTGATTAAATTCCTAAGTAATACAAATATAGTCTTAAGTCACATGTAGCCATCCAAAAAATAACTAAAGGAATTTTATTAATAACAAAAACTATTTCAATAAACACTTTCAAAATATGGAAATAATCGTTTTACGTTAAGCATTCCGGAATATATATACTTATAGTGTCTTTGTTCAAGTTGGGATAAGGATTGTTCGTAAAAAGCTTGTGATTTTTTAAATACTTTAAGCTATTCATTCTCAATCCATTTCCCGCCAAAAACTGAATACAGATTATTAATCACTGTTTTTAATTTCAAAGACAATTTAACTGCGCCGATGACGTACGCGCGTTCGCGCATCTGTTTTATAATCTGTGGCGCATAGTATAATGCAGGCTGTGTCGAGTCGCTTGGGCATCGGGCCGCTGGGGTGGTCAGCTCGTCGAAGCGACGGCGCGCTTCGAGATCCTAGGGCCATTGCTGTTACACATTAGCGCGAGATTTATGGCCAGTGTCCAATGCATATATGTTCGCCTCACTGGATACTTGTCGGTGCGGGGGATACGTGTTTTGCACGGCATCTATCTTCTTTTAATCATTAGGCGAAGAGTTTTGATTTCATTGCTACCGGATTTACGCTCGAATTTTTTTTTCGTGTGAAGTAAACGGTACACTAGATGATGTTGATTGCCATTAGGGATTGCAGATTCGTACAACCGCAGAAGCAACAATAACGCCCGGTTTCTGAAACACTGATCATCGTAGATGTCAACTAATCAGCTGTCAATTGGCTTTTCAAAAAAAATTAATTAAACTCTCCGAATCGATCAGAATGATCTTCTTGATGATCAGAATGATCAATTCAAAGAGTTCAACAATTCTTTTGGCAACTCAAATAACATTTGAATAGCCATTGGACAGCTAGTTAGTTGACATCTACGATGATCAGTGTTTCAGAAACCGGGCGTAAGTCTTTCAACTTTTTTTTTCTTACAACCGTCTTTCCGTCCGAGTACAACGTAGGCGTCTTCAAGGCAAGAGTGAATAGGTTTCTACTGAGCTAGCGTGCTTACAATCATCGGCTGCATCGCCACTTACCATCAGGTGGGATGGCAGTCACGTGCTAGCCAGTTTTGAATTAAAAGAAAAAAAATAATTTAAAAAGTTTGTCACGGAAATTTAACAAGTATCTTTGACTGAAACGTTATTAAGTATTTCACTCTGCTACGGTTATTATCTTTACAAAAATTAATGATCACACATCTCTAACGATCACTCATTAGCTTTTAACGTAGTCCTTCTGATTTAAGTTGGCATAATTTTATTAATGTTATTCCACACAAATACACACACTAATCACTAGCCTCCTTTAGGAGGCGATATAAAAAGAAAAAGCAACTGTCGCCTTACATGACCTTATTAATTAACGTTTTTCGATTAAATATCTTTTCAGATACTCATCGACCCATTTATCTGTGATTAAAAAATAGCTTCGTCTGGTGAGTGAGGTAGCCGGGGCCCACTTTATTTATGGTGGCAACGCATTTACAAGCCTACGGGTGTTGCAACTGTCCATTGGTGGCGGTTATCACTTAACATCAGGTGAACCGCCAGCTCGTTTGCCACTTTCTCACATTAAAAAAAACCTGATGCTGAGTGATAACCGCCATGGACATCTGCAACACCGGTGGGGTTACCTCAATCAGCTGTATCTCGTAAAAGCAAGAAATCATAATTAGCACGTCTAAAGAAATAATTCGCAACACGAACATCTGTGAATCCACACGCTCTCTTTGCGGGGAGCGTAAAGAATTGTCGCAAGGCAACTAGGGTTGGACGTGTAACGACTGTATCTCATTAAAGCCGCTGCGATGCGGGCCTTTGTCCTTTTTTTTACGTTCACACAGCATTTATGGGATGTCTCCCGTAAAAAGAGTACCGCAAGGAAAGAAATCCACTGCTTAATATCGCATTTTGCGCACGTAAAATGTCACATTACTCAGTGTCACGCGCAGCGCGCGTACTGTCGCGGACACATTAGCTTACTAACAAAAAAAGAGATACTAGAGTATATTTAAATGTCTTCTATATATATCTTATATCTAAATGCGGTCTTCAGGTACAGTTCTATACATATATATTTGGAACGAGCTTGATGACTATTTCACGCGAAAGGTTGCTTATGTGTGTGTGGTTTCGTGTATGATTTCATAAATACAATGAATACACGTGTACCGTTACAATGTTCATATTAACCTTATAATAGTATTCCTACTATGCCACAAATTAAAATGTTTTAGGCCGTGACTCGAATTTCAAGACACGACCATTCAGTCAAAAAATAACAGCTCTCCGTGGCATTCTTAACTGCCTTGTAATTCTCACTTGTACGTCGAATCGCAAACACGTGGCCGTATTACGCAATCTGACGGATTAAAATTTGAGCGGCACGAAAATCACGAGTGTGGTGTGGATATCGAAAATTTTCAATATCCGAAGTACGTTCGGCCACAGGGGGGGGGGGGGGGGGGGGGTGCACGGGGGGTTCACTGGAGAGGTTGGGGGAGGGGGGGTGGCCGAGGCGATGCTCGCGGCGCCTGCAACCAGCGCCCGAGATAAGCGACGCCCGACGCCCGTCCTATGAAATTATAACACCCTCCGATAAGGCTCCTCGCACACTGGGTGTGCTAGATTCTCAAGGAAAAGCTTTTTCGGGAAACAAACGGATAGAAAGTTCAATATCGTTCACTCGTACCAGGTTCACCGTATATAGAATAATTCAAAGTCAAATATCTTTATTCATTAAAGGAGCATTCCACTCATTCAACGATTGTCAGATGTTACTCACCGGTTCGGAAAAGAAAAGCCACCAACCTGAGAAGAACCGGCAAAGAAACTAAGCGGACCTCTTTATTATTTTTTATACCAATAAAAAATAATGAAGAGGTCCGCTGAGTAAAAAATAATAAAGAGGTCCGTTGAGTTTCTTTCCGGTTCTTCTCAGTAAAATAATGGTTTATTTGACGATGAAATATGTAAACAATAGATTATAGGCAACTTGAAACAGCTTGAATCGATCAATTCAAATGATCACTAATATTATAATAACCTTTATCACACAAAAGTTCCTTTAATTTTTTTTTGAATGACACATTTTGAACCTCTTCTTGAATTTTTTTGTAGAAACAAATACATTATCCCCTAGAAGATTTGCGTATTCTACGCAATCGAGTTGTAGATAGAATTAATGTATATTTTTTCTTATTATTCATAACATGCACATATCTTGGAAATCCATTCATAGTTTTATTGTTTATAACATTTTCAAATACGTACTGGAACTACTTATACAAGAATCAGGCTGTCATGACTAGTTCTGACAGCTCTATTTATGGATTCTCTTCTAATTAACATCTGTTTTATACGATAAGCATTAAGGTATGTTGGTTTTAATTCGGAATTACAATGTAGCCACGAAAATAAGACAACTCAATATGCTAATATATTCAAGTTTGAAAGCATTCTCCGGTCGTTTGCTATTCGTATTCAATATCCAAATGCATATCAAAATCTCTTCTACTTCCTACTGAAGTGATCCATTCCATATCCACTTTTCTGGAGCAATACTCGAAGTAGTTCTTACATCTTAATATTTAACGTCATAATACCCAATGAAACTAATATTAAATGTTGCGTCAATCAAATATCGTCGTCTCTGCTGACCCGAGTGCGCGTATCTCCGTAAGGCGCTCGCGAAACAGGAATCCCGCGGGCGCGGCGGACAATGCCAGACTTGGGCCGCATTATCTCGGGAAACACGGCAACTACACGCCGAGAGAGGGTGCTGGGGTCTCCTCCGGGCCATTTGTCAGTGACAGGACGTCGCACGACCGGAGGGGGGGAGGGAGGGAGGGGGCGGCCTCCCCCCCGAATTCCACCGCGCGTTTGCGGCTTGTGCGGGCGTCTGTACCCGAACGTATGTACGTGTCGGTACTGAATTACTCCGAACGTTCCCATTGTGGACGAGGACGGACGCTCCGCCGAACACGATGTCGGCCGTTCGATGCACTCCTTCTTTTTTCTCGTTTTCGGCTGGGAAAATTGCTGTGTACCACTTATCCATCTTTGGCCGTGGCTTGTAGGGTTTTGTTATCGGCATTTCGGGTTCGCGGCGTTTATAATGGCGTGTGGGTAATGAAGTACTGGCGAAGGTCGTGGGTCGCCCTTGAGGAATATCTTTAATTTACGCCTACCCTGTATGTGTCAGGCGTATACGAATGTATAATATAGGCATACATGTACTGGAGAAATAGTAGCGATTGTCTTTAGTCCAAATGTCCATCTAACATTACCTTATTTATATAAAATTAAAGTTATAATATGTCTTATAGATCCACTAATGAACAAATGACTCCTCTGTTCAAAGGGTATTAGGAAATAATCCTCCATACGACTCAACTGCGGATTGACATACCATCCATATTTGATATACTATATTAATTGATTTCTTAGAGACTTTGTCACGATGTTTTAATTACGATGATTCGTATATCTGTGATTGTATATTCTGTTGTTGTAATCACTATTTTGTAATACAAGATGTTGGATCAGAACTTATATGTTCTTGAACATGATTCAAGAAGTGTTAGTTAAGTAGATTGCCTGCCCGACGTCAACCCTCCTTGGGAAGAAACAAATACGTCCAATAAATACGCTAAGTATTACTTAAATTGAAAAATAATTCCTGAATGATTTTTCCAGTGGTTCCGACTTATTACATTTTTTTAAATACTTATCGCGAATCATAATACTTGCAAAGTACGATAAAACAACAACTCATTTAAATAATTATAATACTAAATCCGGACATTATTACTAAACAACTTTATCTAGTCCCAAACTAAGCAAAGCTTGGGTACTATGTAACTGATAAACATACTAAAACACAATTTTATTTTGTGAATAAATATATGTATAATAGATATATAAACACCCAGACACTACTAAAACATTGTGTTCTTCACACAATATTTTTCCAGTAGTGGGTATCGTAAACACCCTCTGGTGCAAGAGACACATTAAAACTTTTTAAATAGACTCTGCACAGTTCTTTATGTGAGTTTTTATTCATATGAACCTGCATAAATACTTTTTAATAACGCTACAGGATCTCTAACATTGCTTCAACCAAAAAATAACCAAGTGGAAATATTAATAAATTATGTATATGTTCACCCCAACGGTGTTCGATTGATTCTATGGCGGGGGAAAGCGACAACTTTCCAGTGAAGTATGTCAACTTTACCATTAATATGATGAGACTCTCACCACCTGTTAACTTATACAAAAGCAGTCGAACAAAAACAGTAGGGTGTGATAAATTTCGTCGCTATAACGTACAACTGACTAGTTACAAATTACTGTAAGCGTGTTTCTGGAAAATTTAAAGTAAATATAGGGATATGTATAAATGTTCGATAAAAATGACAGGTTAATATATCCGTGACAATAAATAGTTATAAATGATCAAGGACTTCCTTCGAACCATTTCGAATTTCAAAGGAAAGCGGAGCCGAAATTTACTAAGCCGTATTACACACTATAACATATCTTCGTATAGCGTTTAATCCCGGACATCAAGCACAAAACTAGCCACATAACGACACTAAGGTCCGGTCTAAGGCGATTACTTCGCCACGCGAGCCGAGAAGGCGCGCCCGCTGAAATTGATCCCGGGGGGACCACCCCGCGGGTGGGGGACGGCAAGGGTGGTGGGGCCGATGGCCGTTTTCCTTTGTGCCGCTGGCCCTTTATCCAGGACTATCGCCGTGACTTACGGGCGGGATCCGCAGGACCCGGGAATTTTTGGAAATTCGGCCACGTGCATACTGCGCCGGCTCTGCGGTTTTGCCCCTGATTAATCGACTGTACTTCGTGGTCTGTGTCGAATGCGGTCATCTCGTTCGCAACGGAATTACGTTTTGCAGTCTACGAGTAAATCTAAAAGGGCCTTCTCTTCTGTACTCATTCTCCTAATTACCTCACCCTTATTTGGAATTCCACGTCCACTTATCTGACAAAAAAGATGCCTCTTTCTCACTTCCTAGTAATTTAGATTTCTGGAATACATGAAGTCGCAATTCTTCCTTTCCAGCAGTCAACCTTGAAAGCCATTACTTCCCTCACACTTCTTTCAAATTCTAGGTAGTAATTTCGTCTGCCTTACCTGATCTGTCTATTTCCCTTTATCGTCGATCAAATTTATTTAACGTATTTATTAAAAAAATTTTTAACCTCTGAATTTCCAAACGGTGAATTAAAAGCTGTAATGTATTGTAGTCTAGCTTATTTGCATTCAAAATCCTTTTATTCAATTTGTGGTTGCTGTGTCTCTTTATCTTTTTATTACTCTGCTCTATTACTAAGATTTTTTTTTGCAAATAACTGATGTCTTGGCATCTATCCACCATAACCGGATTGAATTGTGCTAGCCAGTTTTGAATTAAAAAAAAATAATTAGAGCTAAGTATGCATTGGATTAGTAGCATTAGTAGCATTATGCGTAGTAAGTGGCTGGATGAGGAAAGCGGAAGATCGTGCTATGTGGCGTGCCCTTGGGAGGCCTATGTCCAGCAGTGGACTGCAAAAGGCTGTTTGGATGGATGGATGGATGCATTGAGATTGCCTCCAACTGATTTGAAAGGGTTTTTTCGTTGCACTAACAATACCGTACCTTACAGGGCGATATTATCACTCAGCGATAAAGCTCTTTTCTTATCAAGAAAAAAGAAATAACAATACCGTATTTTCTCTAAGAACGACTTGAATCTGTTACTATGCTGATTGCTAGATTCGTGTTTTCAGCACTCTTTCGAAATTGGTAACGTTGCTGAAATTGTATCAGAATCTTCATTCGTTTTGCCTCTCTCAGCAAAAGTTATATCCATCGACGTTAAGTACACTTATAACTTAGAACTTAATACACCTAACTAAATAAAAAGTGGAAACTAATAGGTAATAGAGCCAGTATAATACTACGTAGGCAATCCATCATGACGATCGTCACATCACAACTGATTACATAGAATCATCACGAAATCGGCCAGCATCTTGAAAAATATTGGTACAGTCGTAGTATCTATGTCAAATTCAAATGTGGAACAATGGGCGTTTTATATTCAAGTTCGAATAAACACGAATAAATTTGCTTCATCGTTAAATATTACCAGACCCGTAAATTCATTAAAATTTGCAATCAAATAATTCCTGTAATCGTGACAAATAAAAAACCGAATAAGTGAGGTGATCGCCGATTCGTAACGAATGGCTTGTTTATATTTAAATGATTATAATTCGCCCATTCCCCCAACAAGGCAGTATAAATGCTAATTAAAATTACTATGGCATCGATTAGCGTGCATTTTTTATGCTCTGATGTGTCCATGTACCAATTACCAACCTAAATTTCACCTGAAGCAATGTTTTATGTGTTTGTTGTAATTACTTCATAAAAAATGCTCGCTTGCAACAAATCCTAACAAAATTTTCAAGTAAATTTTATAAGGTCCCTTAAAAAAATTTAAGTCTTAAGGTTTTTAGGAAAAATTTTCACTATAATATGGGTTGCTAAATTATAAATTTTTACTAAGTTAGACATCGTTAGCAATAGGCAAGTGCAGCCATCCTTTTCAGGATTCAAGTACATTCGTATGATGATTCAATTTAGAGCACTACTACTCTTAAATATGAACCTTAATAAGCGTTATTTTTTAAGCGTTGGAATTAACTTAAAACTGTTTTTTTCAAATAAGTCACTGTCTATGTTAACACCGCAAAGAAAAGACTCATCTGGATATCTCGGCATCGAACTATGCCATGCCAAAATATACCTTATCATATTGTCGTAAGCAATAAAAAGTATTGGCAAAATTCACTTTGAACTTTGCAGATGTCTAGTCAGATTAGTTGAAGCTTAAAGCTCGATATTTTATTAATTGATGATCAATCTTGATCGTTTTTAGGGTTACGTACCTCTAAAGGTAAAAAAGGATCCCTTATATGATCACTCTCTTGTCCGTCTGTCCGTATGTCATCACCAATTTTGTCAGGAATGGGTGGACCTAGCAAGTTGAAAGTTATTCTAGATACTGAAATCTATAGTCCCTATTAGATGTATAAAAACCAAGGTCCTGACTCAATACGATAAAAAGATATTATCGGCAAATTTAGATTTTGGCGAAAACTTTTAAGTGCCAAATTTATCTTAACTTTTTATTTTTTTTATTTTTCGGAACAGAAGCTAGTCCCTAGACATCTACATCTAGAGTGGGCAAAGAAAAGTTTATCTTCGATAAATAAATATATATAACATAAATAAATGCTTCAGGACATGTTTTTACACAATCTATTCCTAAGCAAAGCTTGAACTACGGGTACTAGATAACTGATAAACATGCTTAAACATAATTTTCTTTTGTAAATGAATAGGTACATATTAAAGATAAATCCAGAAACTAAAAATACACAGAGTGAATCGAACCCACACCCACTGATGAAAGTGACAGGTTCACAATCAACAACAGCAATTGAATCAATGAAGCTTTAAACTAAATTCCTTCACTAAAATCAACGCAACATAAACTATGTTCCTATCCATGATGCGATCGTCGCATCGCACATCCGTTTTCGTTTAAATAAAGTCTCTTCCATAAAAACATTGAGCTTTTGAATGAAACCAGACACTCGTTTTATCATGAAGCAAACATGTAACTATCAATTATGTAAATTTTCGCATATCGAGTGCGATAACGATACAACATGGCTGTTTGCGTTAAAATGTTTGTATTGGATGCGATATTAAGCCTTATTGTCCATTTAACGGTACACGTTTTTACATATTCATGTAGGTACTCTACAGATCAACAACTGGTGTATTTGCAAATTATTTCTGTACTCATATCGTTTTCCGGAAAACGATTGCCTTTAAATGTCTATAATTCGTTACACTATACCGAAATGTAATTGTTGCAATTAATTAAAACTAGGCTAGAAATATTCATTCTCGTCTCTTTTCGAATATTATTCCACGACATCGTCTCGGGATTATATCATCTTTTTTTTTTATGTGAAAAAGTGGCAAACGAGTTGGCGGTTTACCTGATGTAAAGTAATAACAGCCGCCCATAGATATTTGCAACACCCGTAGTGTTGCAAATGCGTTGCCACCTTTAAATAAAGTGGGCCCGGCTACCGCACTCACCAGACGAAACGGAGGAGTATAACACTTCTACTTTACACCGCTCTTCTGTGAGGTCGTGATAACTACCTGGACGGACTTGCCCATTTGTGCAACAGTTAAAACAGAGGCGTGGCCCTACCACAGTTTAATTACCTATTCATCATAATAATGGCTCCATCATACAAACTCCCCGAAAATATGGACACAAACATAATCCTGGTGATAATATTCACGGCTAGCATTTTCAGTTCTCAGGGGTTCTACTCTATTCGTGGGTTCTTTTATAATATAAAAATTTATAATATAAAAGAATCCACGAGTATATTATAATAGAAGATTATAAATATTACAATAAAATGTTCCGATGACGGAAAATTTTTGAATCAGGAAGAAATTCTCACCACATGGTTGACATAATGTAAGATACATGTTATAGTTGCTATAAAATTGTAAATATTCCAGAAATTACTTTACGGCAAATATGACATAAGTATAAAATAGAAAATTACAAGAAAAATGTTCTTCTTTTCTTACTCGTTAAAGCTTATTCGATCAAATCAAATCCATAAAATCAAATTCAAATTTATTTTAACAGGGCCCTTTTATTATTTCACTATTTGTCAATGACGTGGTGTAATTTGTTCAGTGTAATAAATGAGCGTCGGAGGATAATCAACGTTCTCTTTTCAAATTGAAAAAAAAAATGAATGTTAAAAAAGCTTGAATTACATAGGTTACGCACCTTTTAGCTTCTTTAGCGCGGGCTTATGCAATAAAGCGGCTCTCGTTACGCCTAGGCTGGTTTAGAATGGAGGCGAAAAATGGGCCGCTTCAGCTTGCTTTGCCAGACTGAATAGACACGGTCCACAGCGAAATCGTAATTGACGACTTCTGAATGGCTTGAAATCAGCTTCTTTTTTCTTTATACCCCAAACACGTAACGGCTGAGACAGATAGTACGTTTTTTATATAACGGATGCTGAACATTATGATGAATGTTGTCTTAATTTGCAAAATATATTCAACTAAGTTGGGTAGATGACACTTTTTTCAAGTAGACTATTAATAATCTAATATATAACATTTAAAAATTAAATAAAATAATACAATTCGATAGACAGACTCTTAAAACTTATATACATCGCCGATGGCTAATTGTATAGAAATTGTTAAGTGACCTGACAACCCAAATTAAAATTCTTAATTCCCTAAGAAGAATTTAAAAAAAAAGGTGGAATTTATTAATTGTCTGCATCTCGATGCATAGCGTTCCTTGATCAATGTTATTTAAAAAAAGAAAAAGAAGATGACAGTTCGACGTAGCCGGCTGAAAATGGCGGGCGCGCCTATTTCGACGCGGCCGCCGCGCGTGACGCGTCCCGGCTCGTGCAAGATGGACGATACGGGGCAGATTAATCGCTCTTACAGCTTCTAGGAAGTGCTATTTAAAGTGCTCCACCAGCACACCGCTGAACATGATCATTATTTTTCGCTTATCATAATAATTATTTAGAATAAGTAACCAGTGTAATTGTTTTTTCTTTTGTTGTTGACTATATAAAAAGAAATAACAAATGTCCGTTACAATTTATGTTAGATCAACGTAACGAATATGTTAGTAAAAACGATATTTTTTCAATTAATATTTTTTAACAATACAATGTTTCTAGTATTCCGTTA